CGGTTCACTGGGTTCTCTCTTTCTCTGGATAATCCCGGAAAGTTGGGATTTCAGCTGCGTAGCTTATTTTCTCTGGACTCGGAGCAGTTGCAGAGGTCTGAGAGGTGGGATGCTGCCTGGCAGGCCTGCCGAAACCTCACTTCATGGGAGGTCAGTGGCAGCGCTTGGAGACTGGAATTTTCCAGTCTAATTAGTCCCTTATGCTGCAGCCTTGCTGCTTCGTTAGGGAAGCTCTCCGATGGCGGTGCGTTTGGAGGAGGCTCGGTGGTCTGATGCCCTGCGTGTAAGGTGAGAGGGGGAAAATAAATCCACTGGATTGCTGTGCCCAAAGGGTAAACAGTCAATATTTAGCAAGAGAAACTACACTGCTCTCCTGCTTTCTCTCCACATGGACTTCATTAGGCGGTCTCGTTAACGAAGCAAGCGGCGTTTCCTGTCCTCGGCCGTTCCCAGCAGCGCAGCAGCACGGATGCAGGGAGTGGCCCGAGCCCGGAGCACGCAGGCGGGGATGCAGAGCGGGGAGCACGGGAGCGGGAAGCTGCCAGCGTGAGTGGCTCCGTGTTGGAGAGACCAGTCCGCCCCATTTCAAACCAGCCCTGCTCTGAGTGTGTCCGAATGTGGCAAAATGGCAGCGCTGGGGAGGAGGGCGCTCGCTAAACCGCAAGCAACGGGGACAGGACGGGGTTGTAACCCATTGCAGTGCACGGGGGAAGATAACGCCGACGTCAGGCTTGGTCCTGGGGAGAGCTGTGAGGCACGAGGCTGAAGGCCAAGTTGCATCGTCCTTCCTCCTCCTCAGACACCCGTCTCTGGTGCTCGCCTTGGCAGAGCAGTGGTGACGCGCAATGGAGAAAGCGGAACAGGCAGTTGCCTTACTGCCGCACTTTCCGCAAGTTCGGTACATCTATCTGGCGGCTGTAAGCTGAGCCCAGGGGGACGGAGAGGCGAGGCTGTGCTATTCCCAGCTGGGTAAAGGGTTCTTGCTGAGGCTGGTGGGAGCTCGCTGATCCTGCTGGGAGGCTATTCGTGATCCCCTTCCTCTTTTTGTTGTTGTTTGTCAATACAGAAGACTGCAAACATCTTGAATTCCCTGCAGTTCAGTTGCGAGTTTTGGAGAGGAGAGAGATCCCTGGCTTAGCAAGGCAGCCTTGCCCAACCTGAACAGTTATTTCAGAGAAGGACCCCGAGTCCAGCCTCTCCTCTCCAGCTTGCTCCCGTTTCCCGACTGACTCAGGAGAAATTGGTTTCAACTGATTGCCTCCGGCTCATCCCGAAGGTGTTCCAGGCTAACGGGGCACCTCCCTGGCACGCGGCTGTTTCTCTGCCATTTGTAATGACTTGCAGATGTTGGAGTGATTCATAACAGCCGGGCTTAGAGGGTGGAAGGGGGGAGCGGGGTGCCTTCACGGCTGTACCACAGCCGCGCTGCTCCTGCTTAAAGTGGCCTTTTAATCAGGCAGCCTCGAGGTGAAAGGACGGGATCAATGCAACTTGGGGCCAAAACAGCTCATTCCGGGAACGAGCCCCGAGCAGGACTGAGGCTGCGACACCGCGCTGCGCCGCTAAACCATGCAGGCAACGGGCTGCAGGCCCTGCGGGGCTCCCCGGGGATGCAACAGCTGCCTGTGACGAAGCACTGAGGAGGATGCTGGTGGCGGAGCATAGAGGAGGAGAATTACCTATAAAAACAATAACCCAGGAACCTAGCAGCAGAAAGGAGGAGAAAGAAGGGATCTCCCTCGGTTCCTAACGGCTCTCTTGCTAAACGTGCTCCTGGAGCGTGCTGAGATGCCGAAGTCATGAGGATGCTGTGAAGCTGTGACAGAGATGAGAGATGTCTGCAGTCTATTAGTGACTTATTCCCTACCAGTGTGGCTGCAGGTGGTCATTAATCAGAGACTACTTCAGAGCAGGGAGGGATCTGAAAGAGCACCGGTGACCGGACAGGGACAAAAGGGAGCTGGTGGCAAAAGCGAATTGGCCAGGGATGCGTGCACGCAGCTCCGTAAGGGCTGGCTGACCGCGGAGCTGGCGGGCAGGTGCCGTTACCAGCTTCGTTCCCTTTCTGGTTGCGGGGAGCTGCTCCTCGCCATGGAGCAGGGATGGGTGAGATCCCTACGGCCTCTCCTTGGAACCTGGAGCCAGTTTAAGGTCAAAACAAGGGATCCATCAGAGAAGAAACATTGCTTCCCCTGCAGCTCTTATCTGGCATCGGCCTCTCGCTGGCACGGGCAGAGGCCAAGGTACGGCACGTTTCCAGAAGGAGTTTCAAGTCCAAGTGTACCCCACCAAGGTACCCCCCGGCCAGCAGCTCCGAGAACGGACTGCAGGGAGCCTGCAAAACAGTGAGAAGCCACAAGCGAACTCAGAGAAAATGGCTTAAATAGGCACTTGTTGCCAGTCCTGCCCACCTCCTCCAATTCGAGTCTCCTCAGACACAGGAATATGCCTGGTTTACCCCCAAAAAATTATTTCTTCCTGTTGCTGTCTTACTGTTAAAACATTTTCAATTCAGACTGTGCGGGTGAGTCGCCAAGGACTCGCTCCTGAAGTCACCAGGAAGAAAAATCAGGCTTGAGTGAGAAGCGGCTGCGGGCTGCTGAATTTAGGGGCATTTTCATGGCCTATCGTTTGACTGTAACTTCTCTAGTTTTACCTCATCTCCAGAAATATCAAAAAGTCCTTGAATATCTTCTTAAGTTCTTCTTTCTGGATGTTAAAGAGAAACCTTGTGGCTTCAAACTCATTAAAATCAATCATATCATCCCCGTCTACGTCCAGCAGTTGAAAGGCAGGTCCTGCGTGCCAGCGGATGAACCGCTTTTCAAGATGGTTCTGTTTCGGGGCAGAAAGGTTCAGAAACAGATGATAAGCGCCGATTTCCTGCTTGGAAAGAACACCTGGGATACCAACCGGCGCTCGTGTCCAGACAATAAAGGTGACCTCCTGCTCGTCGCGCCCGCAGGAAATACCGCAGCCCCGGTGCTTCCTGCGGCGGAGCCAGGCGGGAGCACGCGCTGTCGCCGGCTGGGTTCAGGCTGTGCCGGGAGGGCTCCTGACGGCCAGCCGAGCTCCAGGGCTGCTCTCTGAGGCCCTTTCCCACCCCTCCCATGTGCCGAATGACTTGCAGGGCTACGTCCTGCCGTTGGCTCCTCTCCGAGTCCTGCAGGCAGCAGCCCCGAGCGCTGGCCCTCAGCCGGGTGTCTGGTCCGGAGCGGAGCTGCAGGACACATCCAAGCAAGGTCGAGCTCCGGGGGCAGCCCTGGCTTTGCCACCCCTCTCCCTCACTGCAGCCCGCTGTCCTGGCTGCCGGTCCCTGGCAAGGCACCGGGCTCTCCCCAGCCTGGGCTGCAGGTGATGCCGGGGAGGCTGAAGAAGGGCATCGGCACGGGCTGCACCCGCAAGCTAGCAGGAACCGATGGGTGAAAACAGACGCTCTGCTCTCTTCCCCATAGGTAGACACAGCCGAGGGCTTGTTTTTTGGAGAACTAAGATGGGCAGCCTGAGCTGGGAGGAGTGTTTAGATGGTTCCTACCTTGCAAAAGGTTCAGGGGTGGATTTATCCCAGAGGAGCAAGGTTGGTATTAACAGGGGGACGGCTCATTTCCCTGCTGTCCTTTCCTGTGCAGCAGCAGAGACCCAGGGACCCTCTCTGTCCCTTGTGTGCCGTGAGTAAAGCTCAGCTCCAGCGACTGATCGCCGTTACTGGGATGTTGGATGGGGCAGACGTCCCTGTACCGCCCCCGGGACCCGCAGGGTGCCCCCCTCCTGGGACAGGAGGGTGCATGCCACCCTGGAGAGCCCGTTAAAGCCCTACCCCTCGTGTTCCCATCCAGCGAGTCGAACAGCAGCATGATCTGGTCCTTGGTCAGGCTGGTCACATAACGGAGAAAGCAATAAAACTGCAGATCTGGAAAACAGTGAGCTCTGAGCATCGTCTGCACAATGCCGAGAGCAATAATTATCAGGATTTATTTTATTTTAAATGCCCACTGCTCCCAGACATGTTGCACAGGCAATTAAAACACAGGGGCAGGCAAGAGATACTGTTCAGAATTAATAGAGGAGTATTAATAAGATGGCCTGATTTATGAAAGGGGCATATGTGATTTCTGCACAGAAGGCAATGTTAAAGTGCTCATAATTTTCTGTCTGTCTTCTTTTCTACCCCACCCCTGGAGGAAAAAAGGACTTTTCCAACCAACCAGAAACATGGGAATAGACTGAAGAACTGCAGGCGGGAGGCGGGGAAGCTGTGAACCAGTGGACGGGGGGTTGCGAACAGCCTCACGTGGAGGACGCTGTCGGCGAGAAACCACCGGCTTTCTGACACGGAGCACGGTCGGTTTGTGGGAAGGATCGTGTGACGAGGCTGCCGCAGTACCAAGGAATTGGCTTCAGAGAGGCAGGAATCCCCCCTTGCCCCGTGCTTGCGCAGCTGTAAAGCTCTCCTTTATGGCTGGCCTGGGTTTCGCCTACGGCGACTGTCTGCTCGTCGTGCCGGGACCCGGTTGCCGTGTCTGCGCGGTACTGGCCAGCCCGCGGCTTTGCGCGCGGCTGGGATGCAGAGGACGATAATACCCTGACATCAAACAGGCTTCGTAGGCTCTTGGACATTTTTCTGTCTCACAAACAGGGAAGGAGGCAAGGGAAGGGGGAAGGAATGCCTTCGATGTGAGCTGAAAATGCATCCCAGAGGCTCTGCACGGCCCCTGAGCCGCACGTATTTCAGAGCCCGGGGCAGGAGTAGCCGGGCCACGTAACCTTCCAGAGCATGGTAGAGCGGGGAGGACACGGCGATATATGCTGATCTGAAAGCTTTTTGGGGTATTGCCAAGCGCTTGTATTAACCAAGCTGCGAGTTCATTAGTATTATAGAGCGCTGATATCTGAAGTGTAATATTTGTAATGTCTGTGATCTCTGGTTTTAAATCCTAAGCGATGTAACATTCTGTATATCTCTTTCCAAAATATTACGCAGCGCTGTAATTTTAGAGCATTAATGCCAATCTCGTTTTTAGAAGTACTTACTGTTCAGATAATTCTTTTGATGAACATCCAGGAGCTGGAAATACTCTGCCAGTGCCGCAGTATTTCTTACTGACAGCAAGCGGTACACATCATCTAAGTGCAGATGCTGCAGAAAACACCCAGATTTCAGCTTCATCTCGGTTGGCTGTGGAAGACCAGCGAAACAGCATTAGCGCCGTGGCAATGACCCCTCGCGGAAGGAAAACTCTGCCCTAGAACCAGCCGCAACCTCCGGCCCACGGCTTCAACGCTGTTCCCACACGGTCAAGGAATTCCCTCAGATGTGGAGGCAAAGGCTGCCCTTCCGTTCGGCATTAAAGGGTAATACATACTAAAATCAGGTGACAGAAATAATTCTTACAATGCTCAAGAGCGTTAAATCTGATTGAAATGTGCAAGATAGCACAGGCTTAAGGAGTTATTTTAGACTGTAATGCGAATTGCAGCCTCAGCCGGGCGGCACCCCGAAGCCTGTCGGTCCGTGCTGAGGTCCCGCGTGGCAGCCACTGCAGGGCTTTGCTCGCCCTCGTGGCCAGGGCTTCGATGTTCCTGGTCTCCAGCACCTGACAGTGCCCTGTGCAGCCTGCCTGGGAGCTGTAGCTCAGAGACGGCTGCTTTTGAATGCCCAATTTCTTGTTCAAGTTAGCTGTTAGGAAGCTGAACC